AAAACTCTAAATCTAACAAACTCAAAGCCTAATTTCTCACAATAAGGTATAATATTTAAAAAAATATCAAAACTCCAAAAATCTCTTTGAATCTAAAAGTTTATTTTTTATCCCATTAATTAAGGAATTTAAATAATTAAAATAATTCAATAATTGATTTAAAAATCCAAAAAACTTTAATCTAATTTTTAAAATCTGTAATCAATCAATATTAATTAAAATTTATCAACCTTCAAACCTTAATCAATATAATTCACTTAACTATATCGATTACTAGTAAGTAACCCGAGTCTACGAGACTATTAAATTAGCCCCAAAGAAAGTAAACTAAATTTCATGGCCCTGATTTAATGAAGGTAGTAATCACTCAATTTTAAAAACATATTTTTAAATTAATCTTAAGACATTAAGATTTAAAATTTTATTAAATATTCCTCTTAAGCCTTTCAATCAACCAAATCATCAAACAATTCTAACCAATTGCTCTATATAGGACATATTAAAGTCACAAAGCCTACTTCACACACTTTAAATAATTTTCTAGGACAATTGACTCTAGATTTAGGCTAGGCTAGTGTTTACTTTACTATTGTGTGTCAAGTTTTTCATAGTGTCAAGTTTTTCATAGTTTCACTATATGCTGGTGATTTGATTGATTGATGTGATTGTTTACTTAATTTTTGCACTCTATGATGTTATTAATTGTGCGTTAGATCTACCCTTAGGTTTAAGATGATCTATACTAATACAATTTTATGCATGTGGCTATTCTCATATCGGGCGTAAAAAGTTAAAGGGGGATAAATAAATAATTAAGCTTTAAATTAACGATATTTTCTACAGGTGGTTCAAAAATTACTAAGTCCCACTTTAAGTTAAAAGAGCATGGCCAAGTATGGTTGTGATTTGAGCATTTAATTTTAAAATATATAAGTACTTGAGATTATTTAAATATTAATTTATTAGGATAAACTTGCAGTTGTACTTGAGTGTAGATTTTTTAATTTTAATTAATATAAGTTAATTTCAATTGAGTTGTATTTTAAAGTGCTCTGAGAATGAGATTAAATAACTAATTTTGAATCTAAAGAGAAAGGGGTATCCCTTAGCGGAGAGTCCCTCTCCATTTAAAGATCCAAATTATGATGATTTTAAAATATTTAAAGAGAAAAGATAACACTTCTTTCGAGGGGGGATTTCTTTTCATTTAGATATCCGGACCCGATGATCCAAGGAGCCCCGCAGAAGGATGAAAAAGTGAAGAATGAGAAGAATTCCAACTCTCAAAGTTAATTAAGTCTTAGGATTAGAAATTAGAGCTTATTGTCAGTGGTACCCAGTCACTTTACTCTTATGTAGACTCTTGGTTGTAATATTAAGTGTCACTTGTAACATGGACTTTTAATTTGAATATTAATTTCATTGATTTTATTATTGATTGATGTGTTGATTGTGATATAGGATTACATGCTTTTACTAATTTTTTGGCAATCTTATATGTCATATTTAATTTAGCCTGGAACCTAATCGGAAGTTCGTGAGGGTACAAACAAACTATTTTTACTTTAAATAAAATTAAAATTTTTAAGCTAACATATAAATCTAACATTTTAAGAAGTAAGCTCGGGACCGCTGAGAGTTCTCATAAGCATGTTTGATGCATTTTCTTTTCTTTTGTTTGGCACCTCCCTACTTGCGGGTTCTGGCATATCACATGGCCTATGAGGGTGCAGATATGTCAAGGAAAACTATGCATTTTTTACAAAAATATCTATTTTTAAGTCTTTTTAAAAATTGCTTCATAATTGATTTAAGCATTTAATCGAGTCAACTAGCATTTATCATATTAAAAATTAATTAAATAAGTGCTTAAAATTTTAATTACATTTACTTAAAAATTAAATATCCCACATAAGTCAAGGGGCCAAATAAGGACATGCTCTAAATGTCGGCCCCGCTTTCCTCAAATTTAACTTAATCAAACGTCGCTACCACTTTTTCATAAGTGATCTGACTCATGGTTTTAAAGCGCTTAGGTAGTTTAGATGGCTCTCCAATCCAGGTGGGGTAAGTCTAGATTTTGCATTGTATGTCATTAATTTTTAGTACCCAATTTAGATTTAGGTTCTGAGGCAGGCTAAGGCTATAAGACCTCAATCTCCAAAAATCTAATTCAAACTTTCTAATAAAATTGATCATTCAAATTTAAATATCTTTTAATTCAAATTTAAGCTAAACACTTATGATAGAATAAGGCACTTCTAAATTATTATAGAATCCCAAGTGCCTCATACCCTTCCTCCTTTTATTCTAGAAATAAGTGCTCAAGTTTGATCCAATCCCATTTAAAATTCTAACCCTTATCTCCTTTGACATCAAGCTTTAAAATTTTAAATAAAATTCATACTGATATTTTAAGTAAGAGTATTTATAGAAAATTCTAGTTTCCCTGTGATATAATTAACTATAAGGGCTTGTGCTTATATGAGATTTAGAACCTAGATCAAATTTTAAAATCAATTTTTCAATAATTTAATTAGTTATCTTTAGGAAAATCAAATTTGATGATCATTATCGTTATTTTTAAATAATTAATAATAAGCTATATCTTCTTTCTCCGAAAAGATATGTCGTTCTATTATTATGATTTTGATTATAAAAGTAATGACCATTTTATCCAGATTATCATAATTAAACAGTCGATAAAATTCCATTTTGACCTTCTGTGTTTATATGTGATTCTACCCTGAATTTAACTATGATAATCACAATGAACTCAAAATTTTGTAATCTGAACCTATTAGGGAATAATATTTTCACCTTTTGAGGTGATATATTATTTATAATATGATGTTCGATTTTAAAATTTAAATTCCAAAAACTAAATCTTTCCTAAAGAAAATTAATCTTTTTAAAAACTCCAACAATAACCTTTTTCAAACAAACACTATTTGGCATCCTACCTTCTAAAATACCCACAAACCTGTCTCACTTTGCTAACTAAAATTACATATATAAAAGAGAGAATATGGGCAATTACAAAAATTATCTATACAAATATTCTAATCACTTAAGGGCAAGTGCCCACTTATCAATCCACAAAACACACAAGAAAATAACCAAAAATAATCTAAGCCAAAAATACATCACCATATAATCACAAATGCAAAGTGCAAAATAAAAAAATGGAAAGAATTATCCTAGCTACACCCTACTCTAGGATGCCTACAAAAAGTGTCATATCCAATACCTGATTGTATGCAAAATTAGTATTGCCTAACTACTCAATTTAAGTGAAGGGTTAAAGTTGTAAGATCGAGTTTATATTATTTAATTTAGTAGCTTTGAAAATTTTCTTTAACTGATTAGTCACTTAAAGTGAATTAATTAACATTTAATTTTAGAGTTACAATTTTGATCATTAAATAATAATGAAGACCTTAAATACAAGGCCCTAACCTATGTTAGAGTTGTAAGGAATTAAAGGACAAATGTCAGTCCTTCACCTAACCAAGGCTGGAATGATTATGAGGTTGCAAGGTTAGTTAATCATTCCTTGATTTTCTAAGACTCGGGATAGGACTAATGGGTGACACACTATGAAGACAAATTGCCCACCATAAAAATCCTAGGCATCCTATATAAGATTGATCAGTTTTAAAAGGTTGGCATAAGAATGAAAAAGAAAACTCACTACCAACAAATATATGAGTGTTCTACTTGACTTAAGGTATGATATTTGGGCTGTTTAGGAGTTGAATTGGCTCCCTAAGTGTGGTTTTATAAAGGGGGCATTATGTAGATCTTTAGAACCTTCTCCCTTAATTCATAATGTAAGTGACATTGTGACAATGGACATGAGGATCAAGGCCTCCTTAGGACACATAACCCCGAAACTCAAGATAGTTCAGCCTACATACCTTACATATATTAACAGAGAATGTATAAAAATGAACATAAATCTGACATAGGTCATAACATTAAGGTTTGACATGATGTTCATTAGCTTCTTTAACATCTTCATTTTATTTGCTTAAAGTCAAGAGACATTTAATTTAACTTTAGATTTCAGTGTTTTAGTGTTTTACTTAAATAAAGGAGAATTTGTGAGAGATAATTTTATTATTATTTTTAGTTTATCTTAGTTAATGTAGATATTTTAGGAGTTTATAAAAATTTGTTTCATATATATATTTTGACTTTTATTTGATTTGTTATTATTTTTTTAAAGCTAGGTTCAATTAAGATATTTAATTAATTTGGAGTTGAAAATAAGTTGTTAGTCAAACACTCATTTTAGTTTATGGTTCATGATGGTTGTAGGATTTATAAAAAATTATTTAGAATTTTTTATTTTCTAGATTTTTTTTTCGTCAATTGATTCGTTGTATTGTCACAACGTGTACGACCAATGCCTTCTTAAGTGTTCTCACAATATAATAGGTCTCATTTAGGTGCAAGTTGAATGTTGAGTAGTGATGTCGGCCTGAGCTAAACTTGAAAGATGTTATGGAGCATGTCACGCGACAAATAGAGTCATGTTAAGGGAAAATTATTGCGTCAGGTTACCTGACATGCGGACATCCAATCCGGACACGCCACCTCACCCGGATGCACTGGGCCCCGATACTTTTAAATGATGTGATGCATTTTTATTGGTGTTCGGATGCAAACACAATAATTTGCCCATGCTAAGGGCGGCATCATGAGTGAAAAAGGGGTAGTTCACGTCATGAGCAGTGTGATGGAAGAAGGGTGATGACATGCTAGGCAGATGGACACAAGCAAGCCTTGAAAATACAGTATGAGATTTGGACAACCCGTAAAATTTTATCTTCTAGGTGAAATAATGAAATTTAATGGTAAATATATGAATATTAAAATTTTAGATATTATACGTCTAAATCACAAAATAAAATAAAATAAAATTTGTACAACCTATATTTATTTAAATTATGATCCTACACTCTTAGGCTGGGCGGGCATTTATTGCTTAAAAGATGTGCCTTTTTCAAGAAGACGCTGCCTCCTCAATTTCGAAGTCCAATGTGGAGAAAATGATCTTTGCTTTACAGAAAGCTAAAAGAAACAATGACGCAAAGCCCGGCGATAACCGGAGAGCCTTCGAAGAAGAAGGTATTGATTTACATAAAACAAGCACTGCGTCAAATTTTCTTCTTGCTTCTTCGGTTTCTGTGTGCTTGGGTTACAGTTTTTCTGATTTCATGAACAAACTCTTAGCAAGATAGTTCATGCATATATTCAGTGCATTATAACTGTTTGTGGTGGAACGGAATGAAAGCATATTGTTTGTTTGTGGTACCATAGTTTGAAAACCTAGCTCGAATATTTCCCCACAGGTATCCTTATATGGTTTTTCTTCCTCGTTCCATATTTTTGCTGCTTTTGATTGGTATAAGCAGTTATAAGGCATTCTCTTGCATATCCTGTTATTTTGTCCAAAATCATACTCCATGGAGTAGTACATTTACATATGTCAAAGTTTTCGTGAATTCACTGTCTAACAGAGTTTTTATGTTGCAAATGTTGCAATTGAAATGCCTTCGGTTAATTATTTTTATGGTAAATCAATTGTAGAATTGAATTGTGCAGTAGATTGTAATTGCTTAATAAGATCGATAATTTTGGATATTTTTTTTTGCTTCAGATTAAGGTCTCCTTCAAAGTTATTAGATCTCTTACACTTGATGTTTTAAGTTCTGACACAATTGGGAGTATCAAAGACAAGATCTACAGGATTGAAGGGACTTCAGTCAACCAACAAGAGCTCTTTTTTGCTGGGAATCATCTAGAAGATACCAAAGCACTGTCTAATTACGTTGTTTCCACTGATTCTGATTCCACCATAGATGTTTGGGTAGAAGGAAGAATGCCAATTTCCATAAAAATCCCATCAATGGAGAAAACTTTACCTCTTAATGTGAAGTATGTGGAAACAGTTCAGAAACTGAAAGTCATGATTCAGGATGAGGTGGGAATTCCTTCAGATCAGCAACTTCTTATTTTTTGTGGCAAAACACTCAAAGATGATCAGTTATTAATTGCATGTGGTATCATAAAGGATTCTACAGTTTATGTCATGATGAATCCATTAGCTGAGCTTCTCCTCTATGTCCAAATGGCTTGTGACAAGACCTTCAGTCTTGAAGTAAAGGCAGGATATACCATTAGTGATGTTAAGGTCATTGTTGAGAGTTTAAGAGGAATTTCTGCTAGTCAGATGAAAGTTTTTCATAATGAAGTTGAACTTCAGGATAGCTTTACCTTATCATTCTACAAAATAAAGCACCAATCTATTTTACATCTGCAAGCTCAAATACAGATATTTCCCAAACTTCTAACTGGAAAGATCATAAGTATCACAGCTGAAGCTAGCGATACCATTGCCATTATCATCAGTAAGATTGCAAGCATGATTGATGTTAAAAGCAATAATTTGAGGCTCTCGTATGCTAGACAGGTACTTGATGATCAGAATCAGAAGACTCTTGCATTCTATGGTATTAATGGAGAATCAACAATCATTATACGTTTAAGGTTTCCATGATTGTTGAAACAAGTGGTACTGTTGGTGGATGATTCAGAATTAATCTCTTCATATGATAGTTGCATGTTAAATTTAGTGGCACACTTCTCACTTGCTTTTATGGGTGGCAACATCGGGACTTCAATTCAATTGTTTTGAATTACTGAACTATTTTGAATGCTGGTGTTAGATAATTTATAGGGCTAAGTACTCTTTACTGATTTTTTTGCAATTTAAGTTGCTGCCATTGATTAAAAATTATCCTTCATCATGCGAATAGCCAGGAAACTAACCCTAAATATGATAATCAAAAAAGAATGTCTACAAGGAATGACAACCAAGGCATTCAGATGCATGTTGGTATCATGATATCATTGTGTGGATGAAATAGGAGTTACTTCTTTGACTCCTTATTTTGAGAGAAGTAATGTTATTAATCTTTGATGCATTAGAAAAATATTTATGGCTGCTTTGAGATCCTGAGAAATTTAAAAATTAATGTAAGGCAACTTTGGTGATGATTTAAAATATTTTTGCTTTGTGATGGGAAGGAATTAAATAGATTTTAAATTTGTTGGAGTGGTAGCGAAAGATTTACTGTTGATGGAAGGTTAAGGAAAAAAATTGGTCAATTTCAAATTTTTTATAGATTTTTGGTAGATCATTTTTTTTTAATTGAATAGGGTGAGAATCTTCATATCATTAGTTAATTAATGAATGTAATTTTAGATCAATCGAATTTGTGAATGAAATGTTCTAAATTTTTATGTGGACAGCTCAAAACGAATGAACAATAGGAGTTAAGATTTTATAAAAAGATTATAACTCAATGTGGGTAGGGGAGTTAGCTTTTGAAACAACCCGGCAAATTCGAGTTCGAGTTGATCCGTTTAACAAACGAGTCAGATTCAGATTCAATTTCTTGACCCATATGAAAAATTAGGTTGGGTCTGGTTCTTACCCGCGCGTCAAGTAGTTCTACCTACCAATTGAGTTCACTTCACTCACACGACTCACTTGTGCTACCTCCCACGCAGCCACCCCTTGCTAGTAGGCTCACACCCACGCTTGCACCTGCTAGCCCACTCAGCCTCGCGCTCGTCCGCTTGATCAAGGGGTTCAACATTGGCCGTACATCCAACCACTCTCCATTTACCCTTGATCTATCACCTATTTACGGGCCATGACACTCCAAAAATCTATAAATAGATCACTCATTTCTCTTGAAATAGGACCCCAAGCTAAAGAATTCAAGAGAGAGATCGGAGATAGCTCTTGCCTTCTTGCTCCTCCTCAACCACTGCTTGAGTTCCGCCAGATCACCGTCTGACGTTGTTACTCCGTAATACCACCACTTGAGGCCCTCACCTCCGTCGGACCATCATTTGAGGCTCTCACCCTAGCCGGACCACCACCTAAGGGTCTGAACTCCGCTAAGCCACTACCT